CCTTGCACCCGCTAGCAACTCCGTCACTCATGTAGTTTTACGAAGACGATGCATGCCAATAAACGTTAAAATTAGTTAGTGCATATGAAGGATCAGTAGGTGAGCAAGGCAAGTAGCGCTCAAATCCAATGCTTTAAAGGACTCCTTTTCACCCGATCAACAAAACGTGAATTATGTTTTATCACTCTTCAATGCAGTTTGAGTGCGCAGTTCATACGTCTTTTACGCGTAGCCAGTCTCCTGCTCGCCTCAGCTACCTATTCTGTTGTGCGCTTGAGGGCGAAACTCAACAGATTACTTGAAAGTAGTACAATTTCATGAAGTGACAGGTGGTAAATTGTATTCGAGCTCGGTCGCGTCAAATTTGGCTCATGTATCAGACAATCAAAGTCTTTCGCATGGCGTGACCAGAAACACTACAGTTCAGACTGTTGTCAACGATGCAGCCGGAAAATTTATGTTCGAAACGAACCTGCGCCAGCTTCGAACTTGTGCAGACCAAAATCTTTTGACTCTGTGTCACATCGCCCTTTTCGTCTCCCTTTAACTCCGTAAGTGTATCGAACGAAGCACGCAATGTAAGGTCGGCCTCATAAAAATCTGTGATGTATTTCCTATGAGTAGCAGCCACAGAAATTAAGTTTTTTCGCTATCTTCGTCGCCATTATGGCTTCCGGAGGCGTCTTCAGTTCAATACCATTCGAGCGACCAAAAGTTCTGACAAATGTGCTTTGGGAATCGGGTTTAAGCTGTGAGACCAAACTGTAAATGCTTGCAAGGTGGGCTGAATAAGTGTGTCGGTTAATCGAGGAATGCAGTCTAGAGTTGCTATTGATCATAGTGAAGGTGAATGTTGGTAGCTCAATTGACGTAGATAGCTGCTGGTTTGTTCGCCGAGTTGGGCAGTTTGATTGCAACAGTTTCACCGCCAATCAAGTTGATATCATCAGTGGTTTGTTGGGGAGCGGAGTGGAGCGTAACGATGGATCGGTGGTTGTCCATTAAGCAATGGTGCATGTGTGCTAATATGAGTGCTCTAGGTGGATCGATCACGATTGATTGTTCAATCGAGCGGTTTCATTGGTTGCTCTGTTGCCCTGAGTCCTGATTGGTTGGTGAGCACGGAGTCTTGAGCTTGGCCTTCTCTGCCCTCATCCTCTTGTGGATGCTGAAGTGACTTCTGTCCTTGACCTCTATGGGCCCCACTTTGTGACCTTTGTTGACTGGACCGGAAAAAGTTGAAACCAAGCTACGAATTATTGTACAAGTTCCCTAAACGATGTGCACCCATTTGCCCTTTCACTACCATCAGTTTATCTTCCAAAGTTGACGGTATGGCTCCAAACACTTGACGCAGTAATTAGGAACATAATGATAACATATACAAAGGGGTTTACGAATCATCTGCTCAACTTACAGAATAGATACTTCAAAAGATTGGAGTTGCTTTTTTGAACGCCTTAATGTGACTTCCCGAAAAAAACTAGATGAATTCATATCGGTAACTGCTGAGGTATTTTTTTGTTGAATCAGTTGGAGAGGAAATCAGTTGGAGTCTATTAGGAGAACCAGCTGCAAGCGCAACTGGACTACACAACTGCCGATGAAATAACCGTCTGCACTGAGGCAGATTTAATTGGCTGTTCTTCATTTGCCCTTGAGTTCTTTTTTCAGCATCAATTTTTGGCCCTTCTAGAACTTTCTACGTAAGCTTTATAAACCGCCCGTTTTCGATCACACGTGACACGCCATTACGCGTCAGTGTTCAATAGATCAGCTGATTCGCGCGTTCATCGATCGTCAGTGTTCAATAGATCAGCTGATTCGCTGGTTCATCGATTTTCTGGTTTGGCTAAGCGCATCAGGCTATCAAGCAGCTATCCAGACTAAGGTTCACGGTGCACAGCATACTCCCATCTTCAGAATTCACCAGGAAGACATAAAAAAGGGAGCGAAATTCTTCAAGGTGGGCAATTTCCCGAAAGAGTTATACAGTCATTTAATCATTCTACGGAAACTCACTCGCAATTGGCACGCAATCGAACTGGACCGAAATCGGAACCACATCAGCTGATGAGAACAAACAATCTACCAAAAATTAAGTAGCTTTCTCGGTCACAACCAATGAGGACGTCTGTCCGTATTATCATGGTGGAGGTAGTTGCGTTACCTGCCTTTGCTTGCACAGTTCAGGTTACGACTGTTAACAGAATCTGTCTACGGAGTTCTTTGTGGTAACGTAGAATAGACGAGTAGACCAGACGAAGGGCCTTCGAACAGTCCCACTTAGTGTGTGTTGCGGCAAGTTGTTCATCAACTAATGTATATTTCGTGACTTCCAGCGGTCCCTTTGTTCTCATCATAATTCCGACTTGAACGGGGCGTCCGCATTTGGCTTAAAAAATTCCTAAAAATTGTTTCGAAATTATATGTGCTGTTTCTCGAAATACCATTCCTTTCCGTTCTCAGTTTTCCACAAATCAGTGCACATCTTCCGTAAAATGAAAATAAAAACCAGAATTTTAGAGAAAAGTCTGACAGTTGCACTTGAAAAGAGCGCGGAGAAGAAACGAACATTAGTGGTGCATAAGAGTTCTCTCTTCGAGTCAATGCGGAACAAGTATTGCAGATCAAATTAGAGAATTCTCCATGATTATTGGAACAGTAGTTTTAGCGGCGCGCTTGAAGCATTTGCGATACCTCCTTATGCCTCCAGACAGCTAGGATGTGTACCATTTTCTCTCATATCAGTACACAAGATTCCTTGCGAGGATCACCCTTTAATCGCCATTCTGTAAGCACCTGATGTTCTTCACAATCATGCGTGGGAAAAATTACTTCACATACTACTTTATTTGACACAAGTAGAAGGAAAGTTAAGGAAAACACCACTGGACGTCTCCCGAGTAAGGAGTGTTTTGTTGTTACCGACATATTTTCTGTTATCTGAAGACTTGTTCTTGTAAGATAGGGTACTCCACTGCATTGTTTGGAGTGGAGTGTCAAATAGAATTTATGGGAATCCACTTACTATTCACCGAACGTTTCGAGAAGAGAATCGCTTTCCTTCAGATGTTTGTCGTCAAGTGAATATACGCATGTATTTCCACACGGGACTTGATTAGGTACTTTTTCTCGTGAATCGTCTACAAAGCCTGTTAACTTCTAAACGGATTTGACAACATTGTCCTTCGTTCAAAGATTTGGACCAGACGATACCTTTTGTAACCTTCTCGATTTATCGAGGTTTCTTTACAGAAATCATGTTTGTCCATTGAAAATAAATTTGTGTAAAATTAGCGAAATACACTCATTCGCAAACTAATTTGGTTTTTCGAGAGACTCACCCGGAACCCAGCTAAATCTCTCGGTTTTGATGTTTTCAGGCAAGTGAATGTTCTGCACCAGGCCGCCTCATGTTTCAGTCGCTACGATATTCGAGATATCGCGATACATATATATGTTTGTAATGCACTACTCATAAGGCTGTCGAAGGGATTTCAGCAACCTTATTAGTAGTGCATTACAAAAATATATTTGTGAAAAAGTTGCAGACCAAACTAAACATGCTGTAGATTGCACTAGTTTGAGCGGTATGGAAGTTACCGGTGGAAGAACCAAATGCATATCGGGTTTTGTGTCCACGAATATATCATGTGACCTCCGGATCCATCGTTATTCATGTGAAAAATATTGAGTAGCCTTCCTTGCAGACAGCAGAGTGGTTAGTTTTCCCCCGAAAAATGTGTCGTATTTGACTTTCGCTACAGACCTTTCGGGCATGACCTTCAGAATAGTTTGAAAAAGTTCAATAAAAGAAGACCGGTTGAGGTTAGCCCGACAGGCATCCAGTAGATTAGGTTTGGCGTAAAAGTATTTTATATGACACGCACAACTTTCGGATGACTTAACCAGACGAGAGAAGAAAAACACCCACACTGTTTTAGTCCTCTCTGTTTGCAAACGTTCCAAAGCTTCCAGAGGATGACCCCCAAGTACTCTATGAAGTTTATCTGTCGGTGAGAATTGGGAGGAAGTGAGTGGTATATATATATATATATATATATATATATATATAT